AGAAATAGAAAAAACCTTGAGATAATATGTCTTGCTAATTTCCTCTTCAGATGCTAATTAAAGGACTTACACCAAGAACATCATAATACTCTGTGTCTTTCACCATTTTCTTTTCTTTTTCCAAAATCCCTATTAACAAAAAATTTACTCTTTTACCTCCTCCAATACTCTAATTACCTTTTTTTTCGCGCTTCTAAAATCTTAATACAAGAGCGAAAAACCACTTGAGTGTAAGGAAAGGAAACAAGCCAAACGAAAAAAAAAAAAAAAACTCTCAAAATTATATGATCAAGAAAACTTGCAAGTACAAAAGGAGAAAGAGGAGGGGGTGGGTGGGGTATGATGAAAAGAATGTCTCAGAATAAGAGAGTGCCCCAACGAGACAAAGCTGCCTTTCCAGTTCTGATCAACAAATTAATTACGGAAAATCTGTTGCTTGTCGATACTCTAAAAGCAGTGTATTTTTGGAATTAAGAGGAGTTGTATAAACTAAAATGACAAAAGAAGTGTAGGAAAGTGAGGAAGTAGTCAACTGTTGAGGTATTTCAACAACACCACTCAATCAATCCAATATCTCTTTTTCCATTTTTACCTTGTCGTAATTGCGGCACTTCTTCTTCATCAGCTTATAAGGTTAGATTTCTGATTATTTTTTTGAATCTGAATCTGAATCTGAATTTGTGCTATTTGGGGATGGATATAGGGTTTTGCTGCCATTGTTTCTGTTTATGCTAATTTTTTTTATTTCTTTCCATCTTTTACATTTCAATATTGGGTAAGTTAAAATTGTTTCTTTTCCAAGGATTTGTATATTGATATTAGTAGAAAAGGGTAATTACTGTTTCATGCTCCTTAAATTACCTGCAAAATTGTTCTATATGCTAACTTGATATGTAGCTCAAAAATACCTATTGACTAGTTAATGAAAAGTCTAGAAAACCACATGACTACTTCTTTACTAGTCTCCTCTTATTGACTCTATTTGGCTGATTATTGATCCGTCCAACCCATTTCAACCCAAATCGAAAGAAAAAATCCAAGATAGTCCTTTATTTTTGGCTTTAGATTCGAAATCATCAATTGATGCACTAATAGTCCTCCAAAGTTTTAAGTATTAGTGCACTTTTATCTGATGCTAATTTGAGATATTGATACACGAAGACTAAGTATGTATTATATTTTTCCTTTTTTCTTGTTTTTATTTTATTCTTTGGTTATGCTCCAGATATATAGGCAAAGCACAAGAAACTTTTATTCCGGAAAAACCCAAAGACTTATAGTCAGCTTATTAATTGCTTATGGAAAATAGAAGAGAAAGTTAAAGAATTAGCAAATTTTGAATGGTGCACACCAAACATTGAAGATGCAGAGCCAAAAAATAAAACAAGTACAAATGAAGACTCATCTGCAATTGCTAAGATAAATCTAACAATTAATATGTTTTGTACCAGAACGTAGACAGTGGAGGTTATAAATGGGTGTGTAAAGGATCAAAACGTTAATGAGTAAATGGATGTTAATGAAGAGACTAAAAATGCACTGACACTTGAAACTTAAAGAACTATTAGTGCACTATATAAAAGAAAGGGAAGGGATGACTTTGAGTCTGAAGCCAAACATAAGGAACTATTTTGAATCTTTTCCAAACAATGTTAAGCTCAAACACAATGTTATAAAAAGGTAAGATAAGAACTAATGTCACAATATTACAGGTAAATCGTTTTTTTTTCCTGTTTTTCAATTTTTATCACTATAATATTCTGTATGTCAAACTCTAAGATCCTCATCCATTGGTATGGTATAGAAGTAGTGTTCAATTTGCTCGACTGCATTATCCTCACCCTGAGTCTCGTTTCCTCTCTTTATTGGAACTAGGCTCTCCTTGTAATTGAAAACCCAACAGCCAGAAAAGATAAGGTCCAGCTGAAATCCAAGATCTGTAACTTGTCTTGTTTCAGGGTTATATAGCACTAGCTGTGAAGTTTCTGTGATCTCGAAAACCATCTTATCGTTATCCCAGATGTTGTAAGGCCAATGAGCATCTATATGAGGTTGAAGAGTAAGAACTTTGGACCAATTTCCCCCTTGTTTCATTACCCACACATCGTATATGGATGTCATTGGTTTGCCAGGGTCACCGGTTAATATAGCAAGTGAGCCGCCATGCAATGTAAGCTTCCCCCAATGTTCACTTGGAATATCTGGGACTTGCATCTCCCCAAACTGTTCGCTGCCCATGTCAAAAGAGTGAATCGTGTAGATGTCATCAAGGCCCATAGAAAGCCCATAATAAACCCCGTTGAGATAAGTGGCGTCAAGGGGTGCAGATAAGGTAGAACTGGGAGGGAATTCAGGAGTAAGGTGTTTCCATGAATTGTTGCATGAGGAATAGACATAGGCATAGACACGATTATTAGCACCTTGTCCCGGTTCATCCCAGAACACTCGAATCCATACAACCTTAAAATCTTGAGTCAACAGGTCAAATCCCAATCCGAACTGATGATCATGGTTCGGGAAAAAGGCCTCAATCTCAATAGGCGCAGGAGGCAGAGACCTGAACTCTCTAGTGGCAGGATTCCACAAACCCAAGCAGATATCGTCTCCAAACTTCTTCTGCACTAAGAATAAGCGATCAACTGGACCAGCAAGACACGTGAAATCAGTGATCCTCGGAAGCTGAAGGAGAGTTTTTTGTTCAGGGGTCACACCTGGAACAATTTCTTCAGGGAGCAAGGAGAATACAACAGACCTTACGATGGGGAGTACTTCACATGCTACTTTCAAGTTGCAAACAAGGAGACGGGCACAATTGTTCTTGTGATGAAAATGTTTTTCTATGAAACTCGAACTTTTGATGAGAGCATACTAGTGCTTGCACACACATTTGAAACACAAGAGTGATTCCACTGGCAATCTCAATAGAATATCAACTACTAGATCTTTTGGTAAAGGACGGCGACCATCCATACTAGTGGAAATATAAGTAAAATGAGACAACTTACAAACATATTGAAAGAGAACAGATCTAGAAACATGCTTTAATAGAACACGCAGTGCAACGAAGAAGATCAAGCAGCATCATTACCATGTGAAACAAAAAAGGGGAAGTTGCACATTTGATCACTCAGCCACAAATATTTACATCAGCAAGCCAATACACATATATTATGGGTATACATATTTTTAAAAATATTTTGACAATTTCTTGTAGATCAATTTGGGAGAAAAGATCCAAAATAGTTCCTCATGTTTGGCTTCAGACTCAAAGGATGGAGTAATAAGTACTTATTCATTGTTAATTAGAGTTCTCGGGTTTGAGTCTTTTTGGCTATGAAGTCATCTGTGTTAGGGAGCGCTTTACCCACAATGTGAGATTATTCAGCACAAATTCAAATTTAGTGGGGGATCTAATATGGATACCAAACACCGAGTGGAAAACCAAAAATAAAAATAAAAATGACCTTAGGGGTCATTTGATAGGTGGATAAAGCTACATTTAATACATGAATAACAAAGTTATTTATGTATTTAATTTATATAATATTTTGTTTGTAAAATGTTGTATAAAAGTTATTCGTGTATTAACAAAGATGTTTATCTCTACGATATGTTCCCGCAGGAGAAAGAGTTTGTTATTTGAAGAGGGGGGGGGGGTATTTGGAGTCTTTTAGCCACAGTTCGAAGCCCTGGCGTATCTCTTTTAGCCACGGTTCAAGGCCCCAACATATTTTTTTGGCACGGTTCGAGGCCCCAACATATCTCTATTCGCCTTGGTTTGAATCCTAACATGTGGTTCATTTGGGTTCTTCGGGTGCCTTCGCCATAATTCAAGTCTGGAGTCGGCCATTTCAGTTCTTGAAAGCTTTTAATCTAGCTAATGTTATTCATAGTACTTCCGTGTACTTATCGGACTTATGTGAGTCCAAACTTGTTTGAGTTATATATTTACTTTCTAATTGTGCACGAGTATACATACTTTCTGGGCTTATAGAGGTCCAATTAGGTTATAGATTATTGCTTTACTTTACTACTTTGTTCTTTTTAGACTCGTGAGCTATATAGTTAGACTTTCCGTTATTGCTTTGTTCATTTGACCTCTAATTATTGTTACTTTCATATTCTTCATATTGTTTTTACTTTCCAAGCTCAGTCGACCTATGATGCCTACTGGGCACCTGTTGTTCTGATATTCATGCTACACTCCACATCTGCTTTCTTGATGTAGATTTGAGCGCCTGCCGACAACAGTGATTCGAGCCTAAGTAATGCGGAGATCTTCTGAGATGAAGGGTGACCTAATGGCGTCCTAGTTCGACTTATCTCCATATGTATATAATTTTTTCCTATCTTTTGTATTCGAGACAAGTTTATTAAGTTAGTCAATAGCATAGGCTCGAAACTATGACTAGAACATTGAGTGCATGACATGCACATCTTACTCCTTATTTTCCTTATTCGTACCTATTTTTGTTCATACTTTCTAAATTTCACTAGTACATTATCCCTTGTTAAGGAAAATTATGTATCCAGAATAGTAAATGGTCTGATCCACTTAAGAGTGAAGGCTAGTTCATTGATTGATACATCTAAATCACATTAAATAATATATATTACATTTTTGAACTGTTAAACTAGAAACAAGATTTAGGATTTTTCAAGTGGACCAAAATACAGATATTGATGCAGAGTACTTAAAGTCTGTTGCTTGCCGATACTCTAAAAGTAGTGTATTTTTGGAGAATCTAACATGAGTGGAGAGTACATGCGCAACTTAGCTTAAAATGTGTTGGTCCAAAAGGAATGCCCCTTGATACCATAAACAAAAAATACCATGTTTGCTTTTTATTCAATAATAGTACAAAGATGACTGATCCAAACAATTTTAAGCTCAAACACAATGTTATAAGGTAAGAAAAGAACTAATGTCACAATATTACAGGTAAATCGTTTTTTTTCTTCTTCCTGTTTTTCAATTTTTATCAGTATAATATTATGTATTACAAATCTTTAAGATCCTCATCCATTGGTATGGTATAGAAGAAGTGTTCAATTTGCTCGACTGCATTATCCTCACCCTGAGTCTCGTTTCCTCTCTTTATTGGAGCTAGGCTCTCCTTGTAATTGAAAACCCAACAGCCAGCCATGTTAAGGTCCAGCTGAAATCCAAGATCTGTAACTTGTCTTGTTTTAGGGTCATATAGCACCAGCTGTGAAGTTTCTGTGATCTCGAAAACCATCTTATCGTTATCCCAGATGTTGCGAGGCCAATGAGCATCTATATGAGGTTGTACAGTTAGAACTTTGGACCAAATTCCCTCTTGTTTCAATACCCACACATCATATATGGATGTCATAGGTTTGCCTGGGTCACCGGTTAATAAAGCAAGTGAGTTGCCACGCAGTGTAAGCGTCCCCCAATGTTCACTTGGAATAGCTGGGACTTGCGTCTCCCCAAACTGCTCGCTGTCCATGTCAAAAGTGCGAATCGTGTAGATCTCATCAAGGCCCGTACAAAGCCAATAATAAACACCGTTGAGATAAGTGGCGTCAAGGGGTGCAGATAAGGTAGAACTGGAAGGGAATTCAGGAGTAAGGTGTTTCCATGAATTGTTGCATGAGGAATAGACACAGGCATAGACACGATTATTAGCACCTTGTCCCAGTTCATCCCAGAACACTCGAATCCATACGACCTTATAATCTAGAGTCAACAGGTCAAATCCCAATCCCAACTGATGATCATGGTGCGAGAAAAAGGCCTCAATCTCAAAAGGCGCAGGAGGCAGAGACCTGAACTCTCTGGTGGCAGGATTCTACAAACCCAAGCAGACATCGTCTTCATAAAACTTCTTCTGCACTAAGAATAAGCCATCAACTGGACCAGCAACACACGTGAAATCAGTGATCCTCTGAAGCTGAAGGAGAGTTTTTTGTTCAGGGGTCACACCTGGAACAATTTCTTCAGGGAGCAAGGAGAATACAACAGACTTTACGATGGGGTGTACTTCACGTGCTACTTTCAAGTTGCAAACAAGGAGACGGGCACAATTGTTCTTGTGATGAAAATGTTTTTCTATGAAACTTGGACTTTTGATGAGAGCATACCAGTGCTTGCACACACATTTGTAACGCAAGAGTGATTCCACTGACAATCTCAATAGAATATCAACTACTAGATCTTCTGGTAAAGGGCGGTGACCATCCATACTGGTGGAAATATAAGTAAAGTGAGAAAACTTACAAACATATTGAAAGAGAACAGATCTATAAACATGCTTTAATAGAACACACAATGCAACGAAGAAGATCAAGCAGCAACATTACCATGTGAAACAAAAAATTGTAAGTTACACATTTGACCACTCGGCCACAAATATTTACATCAGCAAGCCAATACACATATATTATGGGTATACATATTTTTAAAAATATTTTGACAAAATTTCTTGTAGATCAATTTGGGAGAAAAGATCCAAAATAGTTCTTCATGTTTGGCTTCAGACTCAAAGTCATCCCTTCCCTTTCTTTTATATGGTGCACTAAATAGTTTCATTTTCTGGCATTCGAAATCCTTTTTATTACAGTTCTATATTTGATTCTGTATCATATATATATATATATATATTTATCCCTGTCGTCGCCTTAGATTCATTGGCCTGAATTTGAACATTTATGTAGCTCGGAACACTCAAATATCCGCCGCACTATACCTTGATTGCTTTTGACTACATCTATGACCAGTAAGTACAAGATTGATTGGGTATTTGGTTTGATTTTTGAGTTTGTCATATATATACATATGAAGCACTTTGTTATTACACGATATATCTTATGAATAATATAGGCAATGTTTATGAAGAATTAGTTTTTAAAAGTTTTAGTTCAATAACTTTGATTAATATATATACTTGTATGTGTTTGTATATACATTTATTTCTGGTATCTCAGCACATGTATCATACCCCAAATCCTAAAATTCATGTGATGAAGAATTTGACTTTTAGATCCGCAACCGTTTTGGGTCCAAGCAATTTTCTTGTGTTAGAATCTAAAAGCTGATTTTCATTTCTAAAATCGTAAGTTAAGAAACGAAAGAAAAAAAAAATACAGATTTCCATCTTAAAAATTTGAAGTCTTCCCATTTTCTAGTGAACAAGCGGTGATTTGCTTTTCTAATTTTTTCCTCACTTTTAAAAAGTGTCTTTTTCCTTATAGGAAATATTTTCCAAAACATTTGATCAACCGAACATAGCAAAATTGGAAAACATGTATCGAACACACACAGATAAATACAGATTTCCATTTTAAGTCTTCCCATTTCTTAGTAAAGAAGTGGTGATTTACTTTTCTAATCTTTTTATTAGGCAATCAATGATTTTCTTTTTGTATTTTCAACGTGGAATGTTACTAGTGCAACTTATTTTCCCTACTTTCATCATAGAAGTAATTTAATCACTTTTAAGGAGTTTGTTTTCTATAGAAAATAGTATTTTCTAAAACATTTGACCAACGAAAAAAAAGAGAAAATTGAAAAACATGTATCGAACACAACCTACATCAATTTTGAAACAGAAAGAGAGAAATGAAAAGTGAAAAATGGTGGAAGGAGACATATATATGTGCCATCTAATTTAAGAGCAAAAGCATAACGTAGAGAAAGAGAGCAGCAAAACACAAATACAGAAAATTGAAATCTAACCTGAGGAAGAAGAGCCGTAAATGAGAAATGAGAGTAGTGAAGAAGAGGCAAAAAGCTTTGTCTATTTATACTACCTACTAATTAATTTAGGACCAAAAATTTCCAAAGTATTTTTTTTCTTAGATTTTGTGTCTAGTCAAAAGAATGTCATTACCACTAAGCCCATTTTCTCATCTAATTAATTATTGTCTCTATTGCAAGAGTTTTATTTGAGGTGTTTCACACCCTTTAAGAAAAGTAGATTAAGACATAAATTGAACATACTTTTCCATTTTTACCCTTATTAATTATTGTCAAATTTATTGAAGTCATCACATTGAAAATCCAAATGAAGGGTAAAATTGGAAGAATATTTTAAAAATAGTCTTGAAGATTGAACAATTAAGTTAATTTGAAAAATGGAAAATGCCTCAAAAATTCAATTAATATGGAATGAAGGGAGCATACTATAAGTGGGAAGCTCCTAATCTCAAAGTTGATACAAAAATACCTTTTACTATTTTTTTTATTAAATAAATAATTAAAGTTAATTAGACCAAATTTACATGATTAGCTGTTAGAGTTTATCATTTCTTAATGAGGCTTTAATTGTTATCCTTTGAGCTTCTTCCATTTACACTTATTCAAACAGTAGTTTAATGCTTCACACTTAAGTTATGATTCTTCTACCTTTCATCCTCCGCATTATTCTTTCATCTTCCGCATTAATAATTTTCTCTTAAAACCTTTTCTTATTCCTTACATTGCAATACTCTCTAAAAGCTTACAAGAAGTTGTCTTAGCCCTATTATTCTATTTGTGTTCTATCGGTCAGAAATTTCCCTTTTTCAGGTATATCTATGATTTATATGTATCTATATGTGGTTTAAATCTCATTCTTGAGATGGTATATGTTATTTAATATTAAAATATAATTATCTTTTAAGTTGGAATTATTTGTCCCAATGAAAGATTTAGTAATGTACAATACACTTTTCACTGAATGTTATAAACACGGAGATTAATTGTTTTAAATGGATATACTTCCGTGCATATTGTCAGAGAGTAATTCCTTTAATACTTTGTTAATTTTATTCTGTTAGAAATTTAATTTATTATCTACTTGAATATTGCAATTTGGTGTAGAAGCTTTTAGATTAAAGGACTTTTTAATCGTTTTTAAACTGAAAGACTACATCATGTTTGCATAAGAAAAAGTTCAAATGAAATTCAAATAAAAATATCAATTTATCAATTTTTCGTTCTCCATATATAGGTTTTATTGACGGGATGCTAGGTATCCAAACAACCTCTCTTTTTAAAGAAATAAATTTTCTCTATCTTTTTATGACAAATGAAGAAATTTTCTCTATCTTTGTTATGACAAATGTTATAGGCTTAGACTTTGATCTTCATCTTCAATTATTATTACATACAATTTATAATTAACTTGCTACAATGGGCATATCACTTACGTTATTATATATTAATACTTAGCGATAAATTCTTCTTTCTATAGGTCATTTTTGAAAATGCTTAAAGTAAAAAATGATATTAATATAAAAAATTGTGTCGCATATAAGTTGATACAAAAAAACACCAAGAACTAGATAGATAACAATAGATCTACAATAAAAGTTTTGATCATGATAAAGAAATTGAAACATCGAAGTAGAACATATACAATTAAAAATAACATCTATAAGAAAGTATTAGGTAAATATAATTATATCACATATTTACACCTAATAGTATTACTAATGAACTCATTTTATACTGTGCATATCTAACTAAATTATATGGGTACACTTTTCAAGTTTAGATGACATCGAATAATCAACTCAATTTTTTGACTATTCTTTAAATTGAGCATGTAAGTCTTTTCATATTAAATTTTCTATTTATCATTATACACATATTTTAATATTATCTTTATCTATATATATACTAATTTACACCGGAGATAACACTTATTAGAGACATTTTTTGATTATCTAGATTGTTATAAATGATATTACCAATTAAATTAGGATACAGGTGCATGACACGTGGCCAGAAACTAGTACAGTAAAACCTCTATAAATTAATACTCGGTAAATTAATAATCTCTCTAAAGTAATATTTTTCTCCGGTCCCGACTTGGGCCAATGAAAAAAATTCTCAATTTCGATAAGATAATAAGATATATATTTCCAGAAGACCCCTATATAAATATATGGTCCCATTGATATCATAAATTAATAATTCTTTAAAAGTACAAATATATCTAAGACAATTTAGTGAAATATGATTCTATTGTGTTCTGTTTTTTTCTTAAAATTTAAATCTAGTTGAAACTCATCTCTAACTTTTCTTATTGCATCCAAGAGCTCCGATATTATCTTTTCGAACTGCACTATAAAATTGTGAAGAGTTCTAGATGCGATAAGTGCTTCATTACGCGCAACTGGTTCCAAAGGTATAATATCATCTTCAACTTCATCAACAACATTGCTTTTTCCGATGGTATCTGTAACACCCGTAACTAGAAAGAACTAAAAAGGAATTTTTAAAAAGAGGAAATAGTCATTTTTGGAAAGTATAAAAATTTTGAAATTTTCAAGTGTGTTAAAGTTGAGTTTTTGGTCAACTTCAAATAACCATAACTTCTAGCTCATGATGAGTTAGGTGTGTTTCCAAATATCTTAGAAATATCTTGGAATAATCTTTCCAACGCCGCCAAGTTTACGCGATTCCGAGTTCGTATGAGTGAGTTATTCCCTTTGGAAGTTGGGCTGTTCAAATAATAATGTCCAATCCGGATTTTTAAAGGGTGTTTTGGTCTTTTCCATACCCTATTATTTTAGTTCGTTTTTGGTGAATTAATTAAGGGTCAAAACTGAATTGGTTCAGTTTAGGCAATTGGAGATTTATGCTAGGGTTTTTGGAGAAAGAACGCAAGAGGAGAAAAGAGGAGAAAGAGCAAAGTTCGTCGTTCTTGAAGGTTTAGCTTGTGGATTTCGACAAGGGTTGATCCCTAAAGAGGTATGTGAGTCTTTCATAGCATTGAGTTCGTTCACTTACGGGCCAATCATGTTTATTTCATCGTAAATTCGTCCTAAAAGAGTTTGAAAGTTGATGTTCTTGACATCTGTTCTTGAATTTGATATTATTCTTGAGTTGAGCTGAAATTGAGAAGTTTCTGAGATCATTACGTCAAATTATTGAGTTGGTTGAAGTTAGGATTTTAGGTACATTTGCTGGGTATCTGTATCTAAAAAGAATTTGGGAAAAAGAATCGAATTTGGGCGAATTAGGGTTGGAAAATGAAGAAGAAAATTCGTCGGGCAAATCTGGGATCATTACGTCAAATTATTGAGTTGGTTGAAGTTAGGATTTTAGGTACATTTGCTGGGTATCTGTATCTAAAAAGAATTTGGGAAAAAGAATCGAATTTGGGCGAATTAGGGTTGGAAAATGAAGAAGAAAATTCGTCGGGCAAATCTGGGCACTGGTTCCGCGTCGTGGACCTGCTCCCCAGATTTAAGA